CTTGAACAACTGCACTTTCCGATCAGTCACTATTTCTGCTGAGGGTATGTTCTGGACCACAAACCTCAATCTGAAACCTTAAGATATAGTGAAAAACAAATGCAAAAACAAACAAACAAACAAAAAACACAAAACAAAACTGGATGACAAGCACACATTTAGGAGTTTATTTTACCCTGGCACATTTTTTTTCTCAAGAGCCCAGTTTCTCTCTTCCCTTCTTGCTTGACTTTTTGCCTTTTTCTTTAATTTTTTTAAATAAAAGAAAATCTTCCAGAATGGGAGCTGGTGGTTATACTCTTTTAGCTATCTCAGTTAAAAATAACTTCAGTGTAACCTAGTTACTATCCCAGGCTGCCGCTTATGTTGGCTGTCAAGACCTGACCAATGTTTGTGTTCATCCTTCACGTGTAAGATTATTTCCAGGGTGACCTGAAAGCATTTGGCTCTGAAAACAATTCATGCTAATTTCTCTTCAAAAGATTCTAGCAAATTTGACTGTCACCATTTTATAGTCTGTATTGTTTTTAAAAATTTCAATCCCAGAAATTACATTCACCAAATCAATGGCCTTTTCTATATCACCCCCTTTTCTGGTTCATCTTCTAAACCAAGGAGGGTGGGGACACAAGTCCCTAGTTCACTATAGAATGAAATATGAACAATCTATTCCAGAAAATAGCCTACACATCATCTCAAGTATCTCAAGTTTTTCTGAACCAAAAAGATTAAAAAACTGAATCCCAAACTGATGACAAATATACCTCAGGAATGTACTTGTGCATGAAGCCTGAAATACAGTATTAATTACCATTAAATATGCTGTAGTGTTACTGTAAACATGTGAAACAAGGAACATGTGGTTTACAAGCATTTGCTGAGTTTTTTTGGAAAAAAGGAATGTATCATTTTCATCACTCAGAAAAGACAGCAAAGAAGAAAGTCAGTGCCTCCAATAAACTCTAGAGATTGGCTCAAGTTACCACCAACTAAAATTCAACTGAAAGCATACAGCTATTTTCAGGTAACAGGATATCCCTGCAAATATCTAGCAGTAGCTAATATGCTGAATGACAGGCCACTGCTGTAGGATTTGTCAACTGTTTCACTGTGGTAGTTAAAACAATTTCAACCCATAGCCCTTTAGGCACACAGATAAGAAATGCATCTCTCATAAAAGATGCAAAGTTACAGGCACTAGACTGTCTAATTTAGGTACTTTCTTATCATTTGTTTATTTTACAACTAATTCCTAAAACTAAGTCTTATATTGCCACCCGCTGGATCTATTTCTCTGCTCTCCATCCTCAACTCCCCAAAGCTTATTTCACAGAGGCATGTGGCTCTCATTGCTTAAAAACAGATTGGTGGCCGAGTGATGGCCCCTCTCATCACAAATTCATAGTTAACACTGGGACAAAGAGGCAGGCCAGGTTTATAACCTGAAAGAATACTGAGAATCAGGGGGGAAAAAAGCAAGTTTCACAGGCAGTGTTTACTTGTGCACCCCAAAACAGCACTGAAAACGAGGTAGATAAACAAAAGTAACTGGACTGGAATTAAATCTGGAGTTCTAAAATGATACATCCCATCATACTGCACACTCAATACACTCTACAATCAATCTAAAAATTGCAGCGGAAAAGTGCGTTTTAAACTTTCACAGATAATTTTGCTGTCAAACCATTAGAATTCATGCTCAATATAAAATTGGTAAAAAAAAGGATGAGAAACAGAATGGATATTTGTTATATTACAGCAAATTACCTTAAATAGGGATTCAAGACTGCTACAAATATACATAGGGTAATTTTCATTAGATTTACACCAATACTGGTTTCATATTCTTATGATGTTACACCCAACTTCACAAACATAGCAGCAGGTAATTCATGATGATATGCTCACATTACCACATATGGAGATACAGTACTATTCATCAGACTTGCACTTCGAGAAGTAAACATGGTGGTTGGACATACAGACTACCCCCCAAATAAATTTTACAAGCAGGATAACTTAATACAACCCTTTTCTCTTCTACAAGAAGGAAAATGAAAAGGACAGTTTGTATGTTTTTTGGAAATGGATAAAAGGCCCTTGTTATACAGTAGGCTCTTTGTTAAGTAAGAAGGGAATTTCTGAGCTTTACCCTCAAGAATTAATTATTTCTGGGTTGGAAAAGTACCTCAGCAAGGATGCAAATAGCACTATTATGTGATTTAGCAAAAGTTATGAAATAATGCAAAATCCCTAGGTATAAAACTAGCCAATATTTACAGTCAAAGTGACTATAAGCTGAATCAAACATTTAAGTAATGGAAAAAATAACTTAAATAAAAACCCACAGTGATGTGAATAACACTGTTTTCTTCATTTTTGCACAAACTCACTTTTTCTGTATTTTTAAACTTACACATGTTACATATACACAATGTATACATAACATATATGTTAACCCAACTACTGCGGTCAGCATGAAGACAGCAGTACACTATTCACCATCTTCAAACTTTAGAAGACTACTTTTCTTTCCAGAAAAAAAATCTGAAAAGATTCTAAATATTACAAGGCACTGCAAAAGTCTGCAGGCAAACAAATGATGAATTATACATAAAACAGAGGTGGTAGCAAAATAGGAGATACATGTGATATAGAGCAGCCATTAATAAATCTAATTGTGCATGTCATCCATGGAGCTTTTCTCATCTTGGGGTACACTGTTTAAAAGGATTGTGACTAGAGCCCTGGCCACTGTGGCTCAGTTGGTTGGAGCATGGTCCTGGACGCCGAAAGGTGGCGGGTTCGATGCCCAGTCAGGGCACATACCCAGGTTTCAGATTCGATCCCTGGTCAGGGCATGTGCAAGAGGCAGCCAATCGATGTCTCTCACTCTCTCTTTCTCCCTTCCTCTCTCTAAAATCAATTTTAAAAAAAAGGATTGTAACTAGAGAAGAAGGGATCTTAAAACCTGCAGTATTTTCACTTTATAGGTTATACTTCTCAATGTAATCACACAAAGCCAACTCTTATAATGAAACACAAGCAGTTTTAAAGAATTACGAATTTTAGGCACATTGTTTTGTATACATGGTAAACATTGCAATGCAAGCAATTTGCATTACACTAATGTCCTAAAATCACTTCAACTTGCAAACCAATACTGTAGAAGAAATTTAAAGAATCTGTACATAAGATTTAGGAAGACTCATCCAAACTAGAGTGTTATATGTAAAGAAACTTTGGCTTTTACCAACAGCAATTCTCAAAATGCTGCCCTACATGCCCCAAATGACCGTGACAGAATCTTCACGATGGTGAGTGTGATCCTCACATAAGCAGTATAAGACACATTTTTTTTGTGGGGGGGGAAGGGTACTGAATGTCACAAAGTAAACTGCAAAAAAAAAAAAAAAAAAATACACTCATTCAGTTTTATTCATTACCTGGCAAGCTCATGGGGTAAAATTTTTAGTGGAATATGGAGGAAAATCTTTCAACAGAAATATTGAGTGATAATTTGGAATGTTTACCAGTAGACAGAACTCGTTATTAAGGTATATGTGTACTAGAAACAACCTTGAAATTGTCTGAGTGAAAAGTATTTTAAACATGTATATGTGGTGGTCAATAAGTACCATTTAAGAATTCTACTCGGGTTTCACAGACTGAGCATTAGGTAACTCTGTGACCAGCCTTTCAAGATTATTATAGTTAACCTTCTTGAAAACCAAAAGTGTATATTTTGACATTGCCTCCCCTCCTCCTAAAACTGGATAAAACCCAGTAAAGTGCAACTTGACAGTGATCTCTCTCCGATTCTAAAGAGGCTGCCAAAATCATCTAAGATCTAAAAATAAGATGCTATAGATACTAAAGAAATTATAACAACTAAAAAAAAAATGGCAATCCAAAAAAAAAAAAGCTAAGGGCAATTAAATAGTATACTTCAAGGGTCTACTATTTCACTGCAGGACAGTGTATACCCCACATCTCTTAGAACCCTGTAAAGCCAGTGTTTCATGTGTAAGTCTTAAAACCTACAAAACCTACTATGTCAAGTAAATTTCACTTCAGAAGAATGGGTCAACAGAGGTGTAACTTGAATTCTCTTTGTTAGGAATACAAAGATTTCCCCCCAAATGAGATTCATATCAACTGCAATATATCCCTTGCAAAAGAATGCAAGCCAAACCAATGCCTCTCAGATGCTCAAAAACAATGTAGTGTGCACATGAGAAACAAGGAGATAGCTGCTTTGAATTACTATCGAAATCCTAAAACAGCTATATTATCTGCAGAATCAAGGAACTGTTACAGTTCTGTTTTTTTCCTTTCTTTCCGCCTCACCTAAAACAAGGCTTCACTCCTACAGCTGTGACGACGGGAAGAAAATCACATTAAAAAGGGCTCGTGTTCTATATTGGTTGACAAAAGTTATTCTAATTTTATACATCAAAACATCTCCTGCAGCATTACCCTGCCTTCTGTGAAAGGTAAACCTAAGACAAACATGTGAAGAATCCCATAAGACTCCGGCTGTTGGAGGATTTCACTTCATCCACATTTGGGGAATATCAATTTAAATAGTTTTTATACATTTTAAAGAAAAGTATCATCCAGCTGCAGATGGCAGCAGTAAAAAATGGAGGCTTTTCAGCAATTCATGGAAAGTGTCCTGGAAATGGTAATGCTCAAGCCGAGCTTATTTAAAGCATTCTGAACAGTATTTTTAAAAAATCAAGTATCAAAGAGGATAGGATTTGAAGTGAAAAAACATTTCTGTGCACAGTGTTCTATGTACAAACTGCACAGTTCTACAGAATGATGAGCTATATCAAATACTACATTGGAACAAACAAACAAAAAAATACAGTGGAGAGTAAACTCAAATGAGGGAAAATATGGCAGAACCCAAGAAGAAGAAATTTTAATATCTTAGGTGTCCCAAAAATAATTCTGAAAAATTTCCCTTTTCTTCATTCATCATCTACTCTGATTCATTTGGGACCAGGAGGGATCGTGGATGGATTCTGCACTGATGAAGCTGGAAACGCCTGCAAATTCATCCCTGGCTGGAACGGTCCCCCGGGTTGGGTAGGAATCACTACAGACTGTTGTGGTGGTCCTGAAATTCCTACCCACTGTACTGGGTACCCTGGCCCCCCTACAGCATTATACTGACAAACATGGGGCATTCCGTACGATGGCAACGGCCCGGGAAATGAAGGGAGTGAGAGTCCTTGTGGCGAGGAGGTTGGGACAGCTCCACGGATTTGGGACAGAGAAGAAATCCATGTTGGTGTGTAGCCCAGAGTAGATGGAGTATTCTGACAAAAACAAAAATAAAATCAAAAGATCAGTTTATTTGGTAGATGCTTTTACCCGTCTATATTCCTTCCGATTCTTTTTGGCTTACTACTCTCATGATCACTCGGAGCGGCTACCGTTTCTGCAGCACCTTTCTGTGCGCTAAGCATAGTTACACGCCTTGTCCACTTCATCTTCATAACTGCCCTGCAAGGCAGGCCTTCTCAGACGAGGAAAAAGCAGCTCAAAATTGGTTAACACCGCCCTGGCCGGTTTGGCTCAGCGGTTGGAGCATTGGCCTGCGGACCAGAGAGTCCCGGGTTTGGTTCCCGCTAGGGGCACGTACCAATAAATAAATAAATAAATAAATAAATAAAACCTAGTAAAAAAAAAAAAAATTGGTTAACACCTAACACACTAAGCAAATTAATAGTGAGGCAAGGATTTGAACCAAGTTTCAGCTAACTCCAATGTGCCTGCTAAATCTCTGTTCAGTTTAGTGTCTCTTTTCCTCACGTTAGCGCTACTCTTCCATTTTTACTTCCTTCTGCCCATCCCAGGCATTCGCTTATTCAGCACCAGACACAATAGCCCATGTTACTACATTACATCATTCTCTGGAGACAGAGGAGCATGATTTAGTGTGGCATGGGGGAAAGAGCCTGGAATGCAGTAGGTGCTCAATAAATGTCACCTCCTACCCCCTTCTACTCATTAGCTTAAATAAAGCCTGACATTTCTGTTAAATTTTTGAAAATTTAAACTCAATTATGTTTTTGGCAGTATTGACAAAATACATTCCTGTCTGACTCTTTTTTATCATATCGTACTGTGATTATGCATATGTATAAAGATTACTGAAATCTTTTGCACAGGGGAATAATAAGTCTAATGGAAGTAAGTAATTCTCAGTTAAAGGAGAGCTTAGTATCAGTCCCAAATTCTTAGTTCTTCTAAATTGAATGGTCAAGCTAAAACCCTTTCAACTAAACTGAAAGTTTCAAATTCAAGTTAGGGTAAAGGTTTTGAGCTTGACTCAAGAATAAATGACAATACCTCTTGAGGTAAAAAAACAAACAAAACAAAAACATTATTTATTTAAATTTCAGCAATCCCGTTTTCACATCAGTGTTTTTGTTCTGTTAAAATAAAATTGAATTTAATACTTCTGATTCAAAACAGCACCTACAGTATGATTGCATTCTTATAAATTTATTTTCATGAATCCATATACAGACATAGAAAGATACCTGAAATGATGTTTATCTAAAATTAGTGACAATTACTTTTGGGTGGTGGGATTTAGAGACAGTATTTTAAAATTTGGCCCTGGCCGGTTTGGCTCAGCGGTTAGAGCGTTGGTCTGCGGTCTGGAGAGACCCGGGTTCGGTTCCCGCTAAGGGCACGTACTTCGGTTGCAGTTTGTCCCCGGCCCTGGTCGGTCGTGTGGGTGGCAGCCACTCGATGTGTCCCTTTCATGCCGATGTTTCTCTCTCTCTCTCTCCCTCCCACTCTATCTGTACAAAAATTGCAAAAATGTCCTCGGGTGAGGATAAAATAAATAAATAAATAAAATAAAATAAAATTTGTACTTTTCTGCATTGATTAAATTCTATAACAAACATTATTTAAAAAATAATAAAGTGACTGAGTTGGAGATGACCTATTATACTTAATCTCTTGGATATTTCAAAAGCATCTCAGATTCAAATGACTAAAACCAAACACATGCTCTTTCCTCTATCAAAACACACTGCCTACTTATATTCTCTACCTTGGTGGTCAGTATGCTGGAATGATAGCCAGTAACACCAGCTAGAAACCTAGCCTTGATACCTCCCCTCTGCCATACATTCATTCCATCACCAAATATGGTCCATTTTATCTCTTAAAGATTTCTTGGAATCTGTTCATTCTCTCTATCTCAATCTCTCTTTATCTGAACTACTATTAGTAACTTAATTCATCTACCAACATCTACCCTTACCCCCAATTCCTGCTTTAAGTCAGAGCGATCTTTTCAAAAAGCAAATCTGATCATGTCAACCCTAGGACTTCAGTGGCTATCCATCTTCCTTAAAATAAAGACAAGTTCCTTATCATCACCACGTTTAAGACCTCTCCTACCTCTGCTCTCTTCACTTCAGCTAAACTGTCCTACTCTTAGTCCCTTGATGCTCCCATTCCCAATACAAGGCTTTGCTCATGCTGTCCTTTCTGCTTGGAATCATATTCCTTCCCCCTTCCACCAGTTAACACCTACTCGTCCTTAAGAGTTAAGATCTCTGCTCAGTCATCACTTCCTCAGGGAAGCCTTCCTTTACTAGCTCACATGTCCCTTACTGTATCTCCGCTGTAGGCCTTATTATAGCTGCAATTTTATGTTTATTTACACAACTCTATTCATGTCTAATGATCCCACTGAGTATAAGTTCCATAAGAATAGGGACCATACTTGTTTTTGCTCACATAATTGTGACAACATTTTCTTTTTTTTTTTTTATTCTCACCCGAGGACATTTTTCCATTTTTCACTCAGATAGAGCGGGAAGGAGAGAGAGGAAGAGAGAGAAACATCGATGTGAAAGGGACACATCGAGTGGTCGCCACCCACACGACCCAACCAAGGCCGGGGACAAACTGCAGCCAAGGTACATGCCCTTAGCGGGAACCGAACCCGGGTCTCTGTGGACCGCAGGCTGACGCTCTAACCGCTGAGCCAAACCGGCCAGGGCGACAACATTTTCTAAGTAAGGCAACAGAACAGTAACATGCAAGAACATTAGATAGTGAGATGGGCTCTTCACACAAAGATATAAGCAACTGAACCTAAAAACAGTTACTGTGTGTGTGTGTGTGTGTGTGTGTGTGTATGGTAATATGTGCTAGGTACTTTATAGGTATTATATCATTTTTTTAAAGAATAACTTTATTTTATTTATTGATTTTTAGAGAGAGAGGAAGGGAGAGGGAAACAGATAGATAGAAACATCGATGAGAGAGAACATCAATTGGCTGCCTCCTGCATGCCCCCTACTGGGGGTTTGGCCCACAACCTGGGCATGTGTCCTGACCGGGAATTGAACTGGCGACCTCTTGGTGCCTGGGTCGACGCTCAACCACTGAGCCACACCGGCCAAGCAGGTGTGTTATATCATTAATCCTCACAGCAATCCTGCAAGGCAGGCAGGTATTATCCCTGTGGTAAAGACATGAAAACTGAGGCACAAATGACTTGTCTAAAGTTACACAACTAGTAAATGACTGAGCTGACACCGGAACCTAAGTCTCTTTGAAGACCTTCACCACCTTCATTCATACTCCATTTTCTACTCACTCTCCCTTCAAATATAAACCTACAGGTCAACAAAGCCTCCATTCACACAGTACTCAGAGATACCTTACTGGCAGCAAAATGCATTTATGCCTTGAACTTTGCCTCTAAAGGCTTCTGATTTTTACAATGGTGATACTATCTGTGTATAAATCGGTGTCTGGAGTAAGATAAATATACAGAGCCCCCAAGCAGATACACTGCTTACTAGTTTGGGAAATCTAGGCTTTTGAAAATTTTTATTCAACATTAACACTAAATGTATTTTCAGACTTTTTTTTTACCAAACTATATGCAATGACTATATATACACACATATATGTACACAGACATAACACACAAACACACAGATATATCTCTTTCAATAATGAGGGTTCAGATTCAAAGCCATGATTCATTTTGAAAAAAATGACACTTCAAAACTTCAAACACAGAAAAGGACAAATTAAATAAGGCCCAAATTCTACCATCCAGCATACTGTTAATGGCTTTTCCTACATCTAATATATACAATTATATACAAATACTATGCAGGGGTGGGCAAACGTAGGTTTACAGTTGTTCATATGGAAAACAAGACAGTAATTAATAAATGATAATAAAAGAATAAACTTTCGTGTACTCACAACTGTAAACCTACTTTTGTCCCACCCTGTATATATACTGTGCTATAGGCCTCTATTCTATCCACTCCAGAACGTATTGTGGACATCTTTTTGCATTTCCACTGCTTGAACACCAGCCTGATTAAGGCCATATGTAATTAACTAGGCATCTTGTCCATAGACTTAAGGCATCGTTGATAACATTCTAGCTTAGAGAACTTTACAATTCTTTTTCATACTGAATAAGGTAACTTATTGGCTCTAATACTGATGTATAACATAAGATAGCTTTTTCTCAAAATCCAAACTATTTTTTCACCGTAAGATGGAGTTAAACAACCCTCACTCCAGATGCTTTTTTAAAAAAATATTTGATTGGAGTTTTATTTTTCAGATATATAGTCTAAAATGAGGGTCAGCAATCTAAGACCTGCCACCTCTTTTTGCAAACTGAATTTTGATGGAACAAAGCCACACCCATTATTATTATTATTTTAAATACTTGGAATATTATTATTATATTTTTTATCCACACCCGAGGACATTTTTGCATTTATCTTCACACAGAGTGGGAGGGAGAGAGGGAGGAAGAGAGAGAGAAAAACATCAATGTGAAAGAGACACATCGACTGGTTGCCACCCACACAACCCCAACCGGGGCCGGGGACAAACTGCAACCGAGGTACGTGCCCTTAGCGGGAAATGAACCTGGGACTCTCTGGTCCGTGGGCCAATGCTCTAACCACTGAGCAAAACCGGCCAGGGTGACACACCCATTATTTATGTATTGTCTATGGCTGCTTTTGCACTAAAACAGGAGTTGAGTAGTTGCAATCACAAGGCTTGAAAATAATTACTGACAAGGTCCCAGAAAAAGTTTGCTGATCCCTTGTCTAAAAGATAATTCGTTTAAACACTTAATGGATCTAGACAAGGATAAAAGTCTGTATGTTGTCAAGTCACATCACTCTCTCATGGTAATTGTAACCACAGGTATAGGTGAATCAATTAAAAAATGTTTTTATTGATTTTAGAGAGAGGAAGGGAGAGGGAGAGAGAAACACTGATGTGAGAGAGTAACATCAGTTGCCATCCGCATGCTCCGGGACCAAGGATCAAACCTCTAACCCGGGCATTTGCCCTAAATAGGAATCGACCGAGGACCCCTCCGTGCACGGGACAATGCTCAACCAACTGAGCCACATTGACCAGGGCTAGGCAAATCAATTTTATGGTTTTAATTATTGTAAATAAAGAGGATTGGGTATAAACAACTTACTTCATGCATTTTGTTCCAGTTGTCTGTCTCTAATTTGTGTTGACTCTGTTTAAGTTGATTTAAACTTGGCTTAATAAGAGAATTCCCTACTGTTTCCTTTGCCCAGTCATCCACCAGTTTGTGTAAGTCATCTGTGAACATCCCTTTTTTACTAGCTGGAGATTGCTGGCTTGATGCTGTATTAGTCTCCACACACAGTGAATCTATAAGGAAAAACAGGAAAACCATGAAAAGGAATTAAAACTGATAAATACCCTCGTTTGAACAGCAATGCAATTGACAGATAAAGTAACCAGACATTCTCATTTTTCTGGGGCAGTTCTGGTTTAAAGCTGTTGTCCTGAAATAATCACTACCAGTGCTCCCTCCTTTCACTCTCAAACACTTCCTCTTGTTTGGATGGCAAATTATATGGTCACTGTAGGTGTAATTCAAATAAAATAAATAGTAGTATCTCTAAAAAAGTTAGCATCAACCCTAATTTTTTCATCAGTTTCCTCAGATAGATACTTAGAAGAGTTAAAAAACCATCACAGAATGTTAAAAGTAAAAGAACCTTAGAAGTTTAATCCAAACCGGTTGTTTTATAATGAGGAAATGAGGTCCAGAAAAAGTAAACTCACATGCCTGAGTTCTTGCAATTAGTTAGCAGCAGAGCCAGGCCTGGAACTCTAAAGCCGAGACAAGGACTCTCTTTCTTTTCAGTATACCATACTGACTTGCAATAAGCTTCAAAACACTAGAATATCATTTAATTAAATTTTTTTTTCTTTATTGATTTTAGACAGAGAGGACGTCGATTGGCTGCCTCCTGCATGCCCCCCGCTGGGGACTGGACCCACAACCTGGGCATGTGTCCTGACCAGGAAATGAACCGGCAACCTCTTGGTGCATAGGTCGACGCTCAGTCATTAAGCCACACCGGCCGGACTCATTTAATTTTTTTAACTGATATTTCTGTTTGTTAATGAAAAAAAAGGATGTGTATCTAGATAGCAGAAACAAAGATGCAGCCAGTTTGTGAGCTTCATGGGGTCTGGAGGACAAGATGTCCGAAAACATGAGAGAAATCAATTACAGATATCTCCTCCACCAGCAAAGAAAAGTTTCCTAATCTGAACATCACACTAAGTCTTTAAACTGATAAGAACAGATACTACACTTGATCTTAGCCAAAAGGCCGAGAAGCAATCACACTAAGTCTTTAAATTATTTAGTACTTATTAACCAATGTTACCTCCAATAAATTCAATGAAAATATTTTAGTACTATTATACAAGCCTACTAAATCATTCTCATAGAAAAGATTCATGAAGTTCCCATTCCTCTGATTGATTACAAGCCAATATCAGAGTGGGTCTAAAATAAATTTTAGGAAATACATTTGTGAAATTTAAGCACAATAACATTTCCAGGAATTTATTTAAATAAGCAAGTGAAAAGTTCTTGTACATTTGTTATGGTACATTTTTTTTAATTGTGAAAAAAATACAGAAAATGCAAAGGATAATGCAAGAAGCCTCCACATTAACACTTTCAAAGGACTTTTCTTTACCTTCTTTGACACTTGTAACAGGTCTATGATATAGGCTGAGCAAGCATCACTGTTTTTTGGATGGAATGACTAGAATCCAGAAGGTAAACAACTAGGGTTATATACTGGGGCTGGAACCCAGGTATCCTGACTGTAAGGTCAGTGTGCTGTCCCCTGTACCATGCCAACCCATCCAATAAACTGGGAAATGGATGCGGAAATTGCTGAATACGGAGGAAATGATAACCTCAATGATTCCTTAGACATAGTCTGTAATTCTCTATGAACCTGCACTACTGAAAGCTTACACTGAAGGAGATTAAATATTAAATAGAAACATAATAGTAAAAACTGCTTAAGAAGAGTTTAATGAATTAATTGGAATATATTCACATATACAAAAGAGTTTTATAACAATAATGTATAGTAATTTGGGGCAACCATGATATACCAAAATGACATACCAAACTGTTGGAATTCCTAAGACTTAAAACCCAAGACAAACAAGTCAGCCTATAATAAAAATATCACTTTTTCCTGTTATCTCTCTGCACATTCATTTAATTCTCTGCCAACTCCAGTGAGGAAACAAAAGCACAACAATGTTGGGGAGACTTTGGAGCTAAAGCTTTTATACTGTCTTCCTACCCTGGAAAGACGCAAGCAGGTAGGAGTGAAAGGAGAAGACAGGCAGAAACACGGACATACATCAGTGCCAGCATTTGTGCCCGCCCAGTATTTTCGTGCTCATTTCCTTCAGTTTCTAAAAAAACCCAAACTGTTGCATAGAGCTCTTTGAATGTCATTCATTTAAGCACACCATGGACAAGATACCTAAGCTCATCAGTAAAATGCGGGTAATAACAGAATATTCCTCAATGGTTTGTTATGAGGATTACATGGGTTAATGTGTATAGCATTCTTAGAGCAATGCCTTTTGCATACTAAGTACTGTATAAATGGTTGCTAAATAAATCATTTTTAAAAAGAAAAAAAGAATATTTCTGCACTAAGGGAAAACTCAGTATCAGGATTCTTGTGCACAATTCTGGTGGAACAAGTGATCTTGAACACTCAGTTGGTGGTTAAAGAGGTGCAGCAATAGTGGTACAATAGCCAACAGTGGAGGAAGAAATAATTAACAAACCAAAACAAGTATTTAAATGAAACAGGGCTGGCCAGGCAGGTGTGGCTCAGTGGTTGAGCATCAACCCATCCACAAGAGGTCGCCAGTTTGATTCCCGGTTAGGACACATGCCCAGGTTGTGGGCCAGATCCCCAGTGATGGGCACGCAGGAGGTGGCCAATCAATGTTCTCTCCCATCAATGTTTCCATCTCTCTCTCCCTCTCCCTTCCTCTCTCTCTAAAATCAATTAAAAAATAAATAAATAAATGAAACAGGGCTGAGGCAAGACTCCTCCTAAATCGGCAACAGAAAGATAGATCTACATACATATACTTTCCATTAATTACCAAGAACAATGTGCCATATTAGAAAAAAAGGTGTTATTTGAATGTTACTCAATGCCTAACTATGCTTTACACATGGAGAAAACATTTATTGATTTCAGTTAAAAGTTATTCCTTTCGTACTATAAAAGACCACTTAGTTTAAATTTCACAAACCAGAAAATACCCAATCAATGCACATTAAAAGAAGTACTTCACAAACGTGTTTTATGATAGGTAGTAATATTACTTATTAACTTCAAAGGTGCTCTTCAATACTCACTTCTTATTGCTGAAATGAATAAAACCTGAGTTCAGTCCTTGGTGTTCTTTTTTTGTTTTTCCCCCCAGATGATGTCTACATTCAGATAGTTTCAGTGATTACCCAACTGCAAAGGTTTCCATCTCTTATCTCAAACCTTGACCTGTCTTCAAAGCAATTTCACAACCAACTCTCATATGTTTTTCTAGATGGATGTCAATAAACTATTCAATTCAATATACCTAGAGTGAAACTATCAAGGTCTTGGCATGACAATTCACCTAAATGTTCTTTCCGTTAAATTTTCTCCAAACCACCCAGATTCACAGTTAGCTTTGGGTCTCCCCACAAACACATGACAATTCATCCTATATATCTCTTGTCTGTTTTTATTTCCACAACTCTTTAAGCTCTTAATAATCTCATACATGGACTGCAATGATCTAAATAGACTCACCTCCTGGCTCTAGTGAATACATTTTTCACAATGCCACCAGATTAATGTCAGTTAAATGCTGTTTTTAGCATTTCACTCTGCTCAAAAATAAAAGTGTTTGCCCTGGCCAGTTTGGTTCAGCGATTAGAGTATCAGCCCACGGACCAGAGAGTCCCAGGTTCAGTTCCCGCTAAGAGCACGTACCTCGGTTGCAGTTTGTCCCCGGCCCTGGTTGGGGTCGTGTGGGTGGCAACCACTCGGTGTGTCTCTCTAGTATCGATGTTTCTCTCTCTCTCTCTTCCTCCCACTCTCCTTCCCACTCTATCTGAAGATAAATGCAAAAATGTCCTCACATGAGGATAAAAAATTAAAAAAAATAAAAGTATTGAATAGTTTCTTAATACTAACAATGATGAGTTTTCAACTTATTTAGGAAGCAACGTCCTTGGTAGTCATGGTTGTCTTTGCAGAACAGATATTTATTATCTTTATTATTTTTAAAATTTTATTTTATTTATTGATTTTAGAGAGAGAGGAAGGGAGAGGGAGCGTGACATAGAAACATCGATGAAAGAGAACATCAACTGGCCGCCTCCTGCATGCCCCCCACTGGAGATCAGTCCCACAACCTGGGCATGTGCCCTGACCAGAAATCAAAGCGGTGACCTCTTGGTGCCTGGGTCAATGTGAAACCAGAGCCACACCAACGGGGCAAGATTTTCTCTTTTGATGGTCACTTTGTACCACCTATAAATAAACTCAAAAAACACCTTTCTGCCCTAGATTTCAGTGAAAACACTAATAAAGAACATTTAAGTAAAAAACAAAAAGATTTTCTCTTTTTTATTTTTTATCCTCACCTGAGGATATTTTTTCCATTTTTTTGTACAGATAGAGTGGGAGGGAGAGAGAGGAAGGGAGAGAGAGTGAGAAACATCGACGTGAAGGGACACATCGAGTGGTTGCCACCCGCACGACCAACCAGGGCCGGGGACAAACTGCAACCGAAGTACGTGCCCTTAGCGGGAACTGAACCAGGGTCTCTCCGGACCGCAGGCCGACGCTCTAACTGCTGAACCAAACTGGCCAGGGCAAAAGATTTTCTCTTTTCTTGTTTGTGATTTTATAGAAATCTGACCCTTTCATCTAAGTTATCTAATTTGTTGGCATACAGTTGTTCATTATTATCCTATAATTCTTTTTACTTGTGTAAGATTTGTAATGATTTCTCCTTTCGTTTTTTATTTTAGTAATTTGAGTCTTCTCTTTTTCTTGGTCAGTGTAGTTAAAGGTTTGTCAATTTTGTTGATCTTTTCAAAGAATCAACTTTTGGTTTCATCAATTCTCTATTGCTTTTCTCATCTCTGCTTCATTTATTTTCACTCCAATCTTTATTATTTCCTTCCTCCTACTTGCTTCGAGTTTAACTTACTCTTTTTCTAATTTCTCATGCTAAAGATTCATACCTAGATACATTCACTTTAATCAATTTAATTATGATATGTGTAGTGTTGACATAAGAAATGTCCAAACACGTAAAGAATTTTTATAAGAGTTTATTTGAGCCCAAACTGATTACAGTTGCTGGGAAGCAAGATCTAAAATTCTCCAGAGAATAACTGTTTTGTAGTCTCTTTTATGTATTTGAAATTAAGGAGGGAACATAAGGAAGATTCCATGAAGGTGGGAGAAAGCAAGGCAGATATTGGATTACAGGATAGTTAAGATTATGTGCTGTCTTGAGGGTGGTTATGCCTTAGAGGGGTATGCATTCTGACATTTCAAAACTGTGTTCATCTAGATGCATAAGAACAATGGGTAAAGCTTGCTTAAAAACCTTTCACTAAAGAATTTATAGGCCTGGCGTGTGACTACCCACCATGACCTGCCCAGAACACATTTCAAGAAGCACTGCCCTAACATATATACAGAGATCCACAGCCATCCTTCCCTGCCCACAATTATGTCTGTTCTGTGAGAAACTTGAACTGATTCATGGTATTGCAATGTAATGGTATCCACAGTGTAGGTGAATAGTCACCTTATAACATGAGCACTGTGCTAAGCTGTAACAGAAAAGAGAACATAGCAGGCCCAAAGACTGCTATCTTTAGAAAGGTCTGCTTCCAAGGTTTGACCTTGGCTGGTGTGCATGAACTAGGTTTCACTCTCCTCCCTGATAAATATAATTCACTTTGCAAATTGTTGGTACAAATAATGTGATTTATGCTGAATACCTGCTTTCCTTCATAGTCTGGAATTTTGGTACATGCCAGGTAGAAGGTAACTACATGACTAGTCCATAGTAAAAACAACAACAACAACAAAAAACCTTGGGCACTGAGTCTCTAATGGGCTTCCCTGGCCAGAAACTTGCACGGATGTTGCTGCATTTGTTTTGTTGCTGAGAGGAGTATGCTCAAGTGTGTCCCTTCATAATAGGAAGAGAGCATAATGAAGTCTATGCATGAATTTCTCTATATTCCTGTGTCTTTTTCCCTTGCTAATCCCATTGTGCATCCTTTTCCTGTAATAGCCTTAGCCATGACATAAATACAACTATATGCTAATATCTGTGAGATCTTCCACTGAATTCATGAATCTTTGTGTGGTCCTGAAACATAATCACATTACATAAACTCAGTCCTCTAAACAACTCTAAGGTTGGTAGAAATTAGTACCTGTCTCTTATAAGCAAGGAGACTAAAGTTACTGAGGTTAAGCAACTCCCCTAGGAACTCCATTCATAAGATAGGGAATCCAGATCTGTTTCACTCCAAAGCCTTAGCTCTTTACTATTATACTGCATTGCCTCCCAATGCCACAAATTGTGTTTACAGTGGGTTGAGAGGAGGCAATGGAAGATCATCCAGGGTGATAGTGGACTGCTTAATATAGGAGGTAGGATTTGAGTTGGTCTTGAAGGATAAATGGACAGCATTAAAATTGATGAAGTGGCCCTGGCTGGTTTGGCTCAGCAGTTACAGAGTCAGCCTGAGGACCAAAGAGTCGTGGGTTTGATTCTGGTCAAGGGCATGTACCTCAGTTGTGGTTTGGTCCCTGGCCCTGGTTGGGGTCGTGTAGGAAGCAAATTGATGTGTCCCTCTCACATAGATATTTCTCTGCTTCTCTCTATCTGTCTCTCTCTCCCCCTCCCTCCCACACTATCTGAAGATAAATTAAAAAAATATCCTCGGGTGAGGAATAAAAAAAATTGATGAAGTGAAGTGGGAATAATATCATTAATAGAGAGAAATGCATGATATAAAGGTATGAGATGGTAAAATGCAAGAGTTATTTGGGAGAAAAGAATATAACTGTTGAGTGAAATGGAGGGTTTACATTAGAAGGTTTTTCTTCCATACTTAAAAAAAATTGACACCTGCCCCAGATGGTCTGTGCTCACAGTTTGGTGTAAGGTTATGTATCTGATCTAACACATGATTATATATATAAGTCTAATAAATGAGTAATATGTTTGTTTAAAGATAATAAATATCACCCAGCCAGTGTTGTTCAGTGGTTGAGCATCGACCCATGCACCAAGGGGTCACTGGTTCGATTCCTGGTCAGGGCACATGCCCAGATTGTGGGCTCGATCCCCAGTGGGGGGCATGCAGGAGGCGGCCAGTCAATGTTCTCTCTCATCAATGTTTCTATCTCCCTCTCCCTTCTTCTCTCTCTAATATCAATAAAATAAATAAATAAAATTGAAAAAAGAGAAATCTTAATAGACCTATAACAAAGAGACTGAATCAGTATGTTTTAAATTTCCAACATATACCACCAAGACCCAGATGGCTTAACTGTTCATTTATTTATTTAAAAAATTTTTTTCTTTATTGATTTTAGAGAGAGAGGGAGAGAGAGAGATAGAAACATCGACGAGAGAAAACATCAACTGGCTGCCTCCTGCTTGCCCCCCACTGGGGATCAAAACAATTTTGGGGATTGAAATTGTACCTTCAGGTGTTTGTTTTCCAAATAAAAACATGAAATACACTTACCTGCTCTCCAAAATCTCTCATCTATCCTAACCATTATTCCATAAAAGAACATTTAACACCAAAAAAGGTTTTAGAAAAGAATCTCAGAATGTGCACATCTTCAAATCATCTTAGCTTAATAAAAAAAATACATTATCATTAGTTTTCTAATTTTGCTGATCTTTGGCCAGTTTTTTTAAAGCACTTTTAAAATTGATTTACCTGTAGCAACTGCACCACTGTCCACATGTGTCAAGGACTGGGGGCGGCTTCGAAGCTTGCTTTTGAAAGATCTTGGTCTACGTGGTGGTGATACAGACGGCAGAGCAATCTCTGATGACTGGACTTTGCTATCTTTAATTGCCCGGAGGCGTTCATAGAGCTCCTGCAGCTCCTTATTCTGCTGGGTTTGAAGATTTACCACCTCCTGAATATGTCTAAATAAAAATGATGCAGAAAGCATTTTAATGGTACTGGTACCATACAGAGGAGCTAAAAAACTCTACACTAGTACAAGTAAAATTTAACAAGAAATTTAGATTAAGAATGTGAATATAAAAAATAAATCTAAAAAAGAATGTAGATATACATAATTTTTTTTACAATTTTAAAATGGGAAATGCCTTCTTAAGCATACCATTAAATTAATCAGACATAAAGAAGAAACCTCAACAAATTGATAGGAACCAATTTCTAAAACTTCAATATAGTGAAAGACAGTAAAACAAAATTAAAGTCACATAGCACTGGTAATATTAACCTTTTATTTATTATATGCTGCACGTATAAACAAGAAGTATTTACATTACATAGTAAAAGATCAATATTTAGAATATCTAAGTAGTTCCTAAAAAAATCAGTAAGAAAAAAAGAAACATCCTTATAGAAAAGAGGAGAAATATAAAAAGGAGACTCCAAAGAAGAGGAGATACAAATAGCCAATAAATACGAGGGATGATGCATAACCTCACTATTAGTTAGAACACAATTTTAAAAAAATTGATTCAACCCTGGCCAGCATGTCTCAGTGGTTAAGAGTATCGGCCCATGCACTGAAGGGTCACAAGTTTGATTCCCAGTCAAGGGTCCGTACCTGGGTTGCAGGTTTGATCCCAGGCCCTGGGCGTGTGCAGGAGGCAACCAGTTGATGTATCTCTCTCATATCCATGTCTCTCTCTCTCTCTCTCTCTCTCTCTCTCTCTCTCTCTCTCTCTCCTCCCTTCCACTTTCTCTCTAAAAAAACAAACAAACAAAAAACAAAGGAAAAAATTGTCTCAGGTGAAGATTAACAACAAAAGAAATTAATTCATCTGATTGGAATACAACTAAAATGATCAATACTATCCAGTCCAATGTTGTTAAGAAGTGAAAAAACAGGCACGTCATATATTTTTGTTTGGTGTGCAAAATGGTATAGCTACAATTGATAACATTTTTAGCAATATCTATCAATTTAAAAGGAACACATCTTTTAACCCAGCAATTCTACTTTTAGGTATTGATCCTACAAAAATACATGCATAAATATGTAAAAATAAGGATGTTCACTTCAAGCAAAACATGGGATAAAACTGAAATGCCTATTAAGGAGAGATTAAATCAACTTTAAATGGCTACATACTATTTTAGTGTATGGAATAAAGATTATTTATGCAAACATGAATATATAGGTGACACCGGTAAGTAAAAAAATTGTAGAATAGCATGTATATTATCATAACACTGTCAAAAGCAAAAACTATACATTTGTAAATGCACAGAAGAATGATAGGCAGTATATACACCAAACAGTTCATAGTGGTTGCCTCTGAGAAATTAGAATAGGTCATGAGAAATACAAGATCGTTTTTTGTGATTTTTTTACTGTTGTGATATTATGATTTTAATTTAAAAAAATATAAGGTCTTTGTTCCTGTTCCTAGCACATAGCCCCTGAAACTCTTGTAATTTCCTAAGTGATACGAGCAATGGGAGAATCTTTTGTTATATTATTTGGTCTTTTGTCCTCAAATAGCTTCGGTTCCTGAAATAGCTCCAGAGTGATAAAGGTGAAAGGAATTTCATTATTTATAGCAAGAAACGATGCACAACCTCACATTGGAGTCTAGGTTAATGGAAGTGACTTTTGGAAAAGTCCCTAAGGATGGGGGCTGGTTGCCAGGGGAACCAACCACGTGATTACAAGGTGGGAATTTTCAGCCACTCCCTTCCACCTCTGGTGAGGGGAGAGGCTGGAGATTGAATTAATCACCAATGGCCAGTGATTTAATCAATCATACCTATCAAGATGAAGCTTCCATCAAAATTCCTGTATTATGAGGTTCAGAGAGCTTCCAGGTTGGTAAACACATGGAGGTGCTGCGAGAGTGGCACTCACAAGAGGGCATGGAAGTCCATGTTCCTTCCCCTGTACCTCGCCATCTGGTTATTCTTGAATTGTATCCTTTTATAATAAATCTATAATCTACTAAGTGAACTGTTTTCCTGAGTTCTATAAGCCACTCTAACAAATTAATTAAACTGAGGAAAGGTTCGTGGGAACCTCCAATTTATAACAGGCTAGTCAGAAGCACCTGGACTTGTGACTGGTATCTGGGGGGGGGGGGGGCAGTCTTGTCAGACTAAATTCATAATCTGTCAGATCTGATGCTATCTTTGTAGTTTTCAATCATAAAATAGTTTTCCATTATTAAGATGTCACCAGTCCTAAATGAGCTAACAATCTAACACAGTTCTATAAAACCCAGGGTAACTAGATAGGTGACAAAAGAGAAACAATTCTTACTTTTCTCGTAATTTTTGAAGCTCCACCTTTAAGTCCTCATCCTCTATTTCTGATTCATCATCACTGCTCATTGGGGAAGATGGTGAATAGATGAGTGAGGTCTGTGTTTGAGCACAAGCTTTTTCTTCATGGAGTGATAAGCACTGATCACTCTCTGGATGAGTCTTTGCCACTGAGTTCCCTCTGCCAGGAAGAGTGGCTAAAAATTCACTATCAGAGCTAGGTTGTCTCCCAACAGTAAGACTCTCTCTCTCTTTAAGCAAAAGTTCAGATCCAGACTGCATGCTACTTCCTGCTGCTGAATTTTCTTCCAATTCCTTTTCTGGGGTTATAGAAGATACATCAGTCTCACAAGCTGTGCTGAAAGATGAGAAGTTGTCACTTTGTTTAGGAATTCTTTTATCTTCCTTAAAGGTTTCATGAAGAGCTTGTAACTTCTGAGGAGAAAATAAAGTTTGTGGATTGTGCGTGGCAGGTTCCATTTCTACCAACTGAACCTTTGCTGTTTCAATAAAGGCTAGAGCTTCTTCACTAGAATGGCTTGTCATTTCACTGAAGACTGGCCTGTGTTCTATTCCAAAAGATGTCACTTTCACTGACTGCTGCTGAGGAACCGTAATCACCTGAGATACAAAAAGGCAAAAATGGCTGGCTCTGCCTAACTAAAAGAGTAAACCCACAAAGAAATCCAACATCAATATATGGCACAGACAAGTGGATGTTCAGCTTGTGATATATACATATCAATAATACCAAAGCTTAAAAATCCCATCTATATTCCCCACATTCAATCTTTGTCTTTTTAATTTTTTTACTTGTTGATTTTAGAGCGACAAAGGAAGGGGAAAAGGGAGAGAGAAAGAGAGAGAGAGAGAGAGAGACTGACAGACAGAGAGAGAGAAAAAAACATTGATTTGTTGTTTCACTTATTTATGCATTCATTATTTGATTCTTTTCCGTGCTCTGACTGGGGATTGAACCTGTAACCTTTGCGTATGGTGATTACGTTCTAACCAACTGAACTACCCAGCCAGGGCCTCAAAGTCTTTCCATTGGTCCCTTAGGTAAAGAGGGTTGGCTTCAATTGCTCAAATAAAATTTCATAGTTAAAAAAAAATTCTGTAATTAAAGATGCTGAGATTCTAAAAGACAAGAAACAGATTTATAAAAAAGATGACTTAACCTCTTACCATAAAATAATGATCCCTTTCTGTGCTCTCTTCCAGCTACTAAAATCCCCATTTCTTTTTTAAGGGATGCCATTTATTTATTTATTTACTTATTTATTTATTTCCCATTACCATTTATCCCCCTATATAAAATCTCCATTTCTTTAGATACTTTTACTAGATGGCTTCAAAAGGTGACAGGATGCGCCCTGGCCGGTTTGGCTCAGTGGTTAGAGCGTCGGCCTGCAGTACAGAGAGACCTGGGTTCGGTTCCCGCTAAGGACACGTACCTCGGTTGCAGTTTGTCCCCGGCCCTGGTCGGTCGTGCGGGTGGCAGCCATTCGATGTGTTCCTTTCACATCGATGTTTCTCTCTCTCTCTCTTCCTCTCTCTCCCTCCCGCTCTATCTGAACAAAAAATAGAAAAATGTCCTCGGGTGAGGATGAAAAAAAAAAAAAAAGGTGACAGGATGCAAATTAAATATGACAATGATCTACATTTAAAATAACTATCACCTACAGACCAATGTCTTCAGTGTTGTTACCTATATAATACCCTCACACAGATAAAGATTTAACCAAAACCACAAACCTGGAACCGACCCCGCTGAAATGATCCGCTCATTGCTTTACATCTACTCAAAGTCCTGGTGTCAGCTGTGGACTCCCCGGCCAGAGGAATGGGATCGGGAGCAAGTGCTGATCTCGTATCTTCTGTTTCCACTGCAAGTTTTGCCAAATTGTAAACAGAAAAGAGAACATTGTTTAAGACTAAATTTGTTTACATTACCAAAACTGAAGTAAAGTAGAAAAAGCTTAACTCTGGCTAGACAATTAAAAAGTGTTAATGTAATAAGCAACACTGTAGAAATCCCTAACTCTAAATCAGACATTGCAAGATTTATCCCAAGACTTAGTATCTATATGAAATGAATAATTATAAAATCAAATTATTTATAAAAGGAGAAATAAAATGGCAATGGCATTAATGGGATGTGTCACATACATGGGCTACGTGGAAAAAGTGGCAACACTTGTGTATGAATAAATAACAAAACAGAAGTAAATGAAAAGTGATGTTACCTAGGCTATGTCCCTGACTGTAAGCACACTACCTTGACGGACTTTTGATCTCTTGAAAAAGCTGGATGACTGCCGTAGCCTGTATGCCCAGCTTTTTAATTTGCGAGTCCAGGATTTCTTGCTAATAGGATTTTTGAGACTAGGACAAGTAAAGCTTAGGCCAAAATATCCACCTCCTGTCTGCAGGCGAGTGGCTCCACCGCTTGACACAGCAGCAGGATAGGCCTCTGGATCCCCTGGAAGTGAAGCATCTGGGGACATCTCCTAATGGAGACAAAAAGAGAAAAACTCAAAATGATAATAATTTAAGTAAAGTGTAGCAGTTTGTTTATACCAGTGCAGTTTCTTGTATGGACTAATCAGTAATCAAAAATAGAATGCCATGTATACTTGCATTAATAGTACCATTCCAGACTGAACCTAAGTATTCAACTTGTAAGAATTAAGCCTTCCCCTTTCTTAAAAAAATATTTAGACATCAGGCCCTGGCTGGGTAGCTCAGTTGGTTAGAACATTGATCCCATACACTAAGGCTGCAGGTTTAATCCCAGGTCAGAGCACATACAAGAATCAAACAATGAATGCATAAATAAGTGGAACAACAAATCGATGTCTCTCTCTCTCCTCCCTCCCTGCCTCCCCCCTTTCCTGTCTCTAAAATCAATCAATTAAAAAAATATATTATTTAGACTTCAGATAAATAAAAGAACAAATTATTAATCTTCTACCCTAGAATATTTTTCCAATAAAGCAATTTTGAAAACTAAATATTAAAATTAAAATGATTTCCTTCATATGCACCAATTTACTAAAAAAGGTTACTGAAACTCTATATTCTTAAACTGAACATTTTTATTTCTGTTTGTTATTTAAGGGAGTTGAAAAAGGCTGACATAAATGAGAACATAGAAAGCCAAGATAACTAGACATTTAGATTTATAGGGAAATATTACCAAATCAAGTTTCTTACTTTATGTAAGCACACAGAAATTTACAACGGATCTCAAAATTATTTCAAATTCATGCTCTAAAAATTGTTAACATCAGGCCATGGCTGGCAATAAAATCACTCTTCCCTCTTCTTGACCTTCCATCCCTCTCCTAAAAAAGCCAGAATTAACTGTTATATTCTAAATGGGTACTTTAAAAATAAATTCTCTATAATAATTAATACAAAAGTTTAATATATACAATTAAAAATACTTTGGGAAACATGAGAATGGTCAGTGCTAATCTAGAAAGTTAAGAGTATTTGAAAGCACAAGGACTGGGCCCAGCTGGTGTGGCTCAGTGGTTGAGCGTTGACCCATGCACTAAGATGTCACCAGTTCGATTCCTGGTCAGGACACATGCCCAGGTTGTGGGCCTGATCCCCAGTGGGGGGCATGCAGGAGGTGGCCAATCGATGTTCTCTTGCATCGATGTTTCTATCTCTCTCTCCCTCTCCCTTCCTCTCTCTCTAAAATCAATAATGAAAAAAAGAAAAAAAGAAAGCTCAAGGAATGGGATTTAGTATTTTCTGAAGAAAGACAGCCCAAGTGGCACTAAGAATTATTAACACTTAGGGCAGTTATTGAAAATAAAACTCTGAACAATTAGTTTTTATTTTCTAAAGCCCCATTTTGGAATAGTAATAATACTACCTTTATGAAAAGGACAAATATTCTCAATAACATTACAATTTAGAAATGTTACATTGTTCCCACTGAAATTACAGAAAAGATTTTTCATAATAACTGGATCAATGTGGTAAGTTAAATACAAGTTCTAGACTTCTTTACCAATCCAAATTTATAGACATGACAGGAGAAACAGATGTAGACTTATGTATATATAATTAAAGAAGAAAAAGGCAGCTCATGAAATATGCAGAAACTGTTTCAAAATGCTGCAAATTTGAGTAGCAGATATGGGCAATGGTAGAGAGTCCTGGTCAAACAAAAAGATGAGTGGTTGGCTAGAATGCTTATAAAGTTCTACATGATCTGTCTTCCCTTTGCCTCTTCAACATCATCTCATAACACCCTCATACATACTGGCCTTCTTTTGATTCCTTGAACAGGTCTCCATCTGTGAATGTCACCACCAAATACAAGACCTTCCCTAACCAGCCTTCATAAAGTAATCCCGTAGTCTTTCTATCATAGCCCTTTACTTTACTATAATTACTTTATTTATTTTTTTAAGGTCAATCTTCTTCTACTAGAATGTGAGCTCCACGAAAACAGAGATCTTGACTTATTCACAGCTCAGCAGATAGTCACTGAGTGACAGAGTAAACTGCTTGGGGTACCAAAAAATGAACAGCCAGGCAGTTCTGGTCCTTCCCTCCCTACCTCCACAGCAAGCAAAAGACAGCAGAGGCATCTGCTCCCATGTAAGAGTGGTAAGAGGAAAATGTCTGTGGCCAAGAGAAAGGTCAGCAATGTAAGAAGGAGACAACATCCAGGAGAAAGGGGAAGCTCTAGCCATTGGGTCCCTTCCAGGCAGCATTAGAGACAAAGTACAATCCAGTGCCAGGAAACTTGTCCCATGCCTTTCTTGAAATTACTGGAGAAAGGCTACAGTAATCATGTTTAGTTTTTACAAAATGACAAAAAAGAAATCTTATGGGGGAAAAGATGAGTATACAACTAAGAATCACTAAACACTTATGGGAAATCAACATAATAAAAAACAAACAAACAAATAAAAACACTAGCCCAGCTGGTGTGGCTCAGTGGTTTGAGCACTGTCCCATTGACTGAGAGGTCCCAGATCGATTCCCAGTCAGGGCACATGCCCAGGTTGTGGGCCAAATCCCAAGTGGGGGGCATGCAGGAGGCGGCCGATTGATTTTTCTCTCTCATTGATGTTTCTGTCTGTCTCTCTCTCTCCCTTCCTCTCTCTTTAAAATCAATAAAGAAAAAAAAATAACACTAAACTCAACAAACAGAATAGCCAAGGAAATAGCATTAATAACATAGAATAAAACTTTAATATCTTCAAGAGATGTGTGAATATACAACATCCATAAGAAAAAACAATAAACTACATACAGTTATTAGACATTAAAAATATAATCATTGACATTAAAAAATAGCTGAATAGGACATTGCAAACAGCTTAAAAATTAAGAAATTCTCCCAGTACAAAAAGCAAAGGGACAGAGATAGAAAGCATAAAATGAAAAGTTAATAAGAAAAACAGGAAATGAAGAAATAAAACAATTTCTATTCACAGATGATATGATCTTATGTACTATATAGAAAATCCTAAATAATACACCAATAGCTGTTAGAACTAATAAACAAACTCAGCAAACCTGTAGAACACTCAAAAATCAGTTGTATGTCTATACACTAGCAATGAAAAATGCTAAAAAGAAAATTAAGAAAACAATTCCATTTGTCATAACAACAAAGAATAACAAGTGGTTCTGGAACAAGTGGATAGCCACACACAAAGTAATGACTCTGGACCCTTATCTAATACAATATACAAAAATTAACTCAAAATTATCCTACCATATGTACTTAATCAAATGTGAAGCAAAATACAGGCATTTTTGGACATTAAAAAAAACATTATTATTTTTCAACATGGTTTTGTTTTTTATTTTAAAAAAGTTTTATTGATGTATGTTTCACACACTCTCAAGTTCGCCCATTTAAACTATACAGTTTAGTGGGTTTTCTTAATTGAATTTATTGGGGTGACATTGGTTCACCAAACCATACAGGTTTCAAGTGTACAACTCAACAAAACATCATCTGCACACTGTATCATGTGCCCATCGCCCAAAGCAAACACACACACAGTAGTCTTCCATGCAACATATTTTAAAATATTACTCATAGAAACATTTTGGAGGGGCAGAAGGAATTTTAGGACACCAGAAACAATGGCAGGTAAGTTTTATCAAGATGTAGCTATGGACACTTGAAAAAAAATCCATTTGACCTTGACACTTGGAAGAAGTCTCCTTTGAACAACAAAGTTTAAATGACATAGAATTACATTTCATTTTTTATGGTTCTAATCACATTATGTGATCATTAGACAACACATATGATCATAATACAAATGCTTTTCATTTATTTTCAATTCTTTGAATCAAACTATAGACAAAGCACAATCAATTTTTGCAGGAAAAAATGCAGATGTTAACCTTTACCAATGTTATCAAGTAATATAATTAATAAAAATTAGAAGATGTACAGGGAAGAAAAGTGGAGGAAAGGAAGAGTATAATTTCCTCACCCTTCATAGCAGTACGTAAATAGGTATTGTCTGAAATAACTAAATAAAAAAATAGATGAATAAGTATATTATCTATAAGTTATTAGTGGCAATGAGCACAAGAATTAAAATAGGAACTTAACAGTGTTTGGGAAGTGCAGTGGGGTGTGGGAAGGTATTAACAAAACAATTACTTTAAAATTTCTATCCTTCTGAATTGCTTTCATGTTTATGTATTAATTGAATAATTTAAAATTACTAGTTTACCAAAAAATAAATATTTTAACTATATCTATTCAAGAAAATATTATGTCATTGTTTAAGAAAGTTAAGTGAGCCCTGGCCAGTTTGGCTCAGCGGTTGGAGCATCGGCCTGCGGTCCGGAGAGACCCGGGTTTGGTTCCCGCTAAGGGCATGTACCTCGGTTGCAGTTTGTCCCCGGCCCTGGTTGGTCGTGCGGGTGGCAGCCACTCGATGTGTCCCTTCACGTCGATGTTTCTCACTCTCTCTCCCTTCCTCTCTCTCCCTCCCACTCTCTCCCTCCCACTCTATCTGTACAAAAAATGGAAAAATATCCTCGGGTGAGGATTAAAAAAAAAAAGAAAAAAAAAAAAAAAGAAAGTTAAGTGAGGTGAAACTATATGTACTGACATAAATAGCACATAATAAGTGAAAAAAAATGCAGACCAGGGCACATATATAAAGAAGTATATATCAATAAATATATAACATGTATCTATGTCTTTGCAAACATATAATACATATAAAGAAACATATCTAGATAAATATGTGTGTGTTAATTAAAACCATGATTGGAAAGATTTATTAACAGTTACGTCTATAGGTTTGGAAGTGGGATGGATTTTACTCTATATAAATGTAAATACTACTTATATAATACTAATAAAAGATTTAGAAAGATATCTATAAAATACTGTAAACTGAAAAAATAAAGTTCCAGATCAATATGTATATAGCACAATCCTATTTTTGTGAATAAAAAGTTGCAGGTATGTAAATAGATCTGTGTTAAGCTTAAGTCAAGAAGGGTAAGTACAAAATAGTAGAAAAACACCAGATTGTGGTTACATCTGTGATTTGAAGAGACAGAAAAGGGAAATTAAATTTCTACATTATATAACTTAAAAAAGAAAGTTATGAGATTGTGGATGATTTTTATTTTGTTTTAAAATTTTCAAATAAAGTAAAACCCATGAAAACAAGATAAAATTGAAACCATAAAATTCTTGAAAAGTAAACTTATAACAGGCATTTTTAAGTAGAAATCTCAAAGTAAGTTCTTCCTACCCACTAAAACTGAATCTATAAGTCAGTCCTGTTCTTGTCATTAATACAAAAACAGACATTGTTTGCAAGTTCCTAGCTAATTCACCAGAGGGCTCTCTTACCAAAGATAGTTCTGCCATCTCTAGTGAGAAGTTCTGGGCACCTTCAACTAAGAAGGCCTTCTGAAATACCTGTGACCTCAGAATCTTGTGACACAGACAATTTCATTCCAAAGAATAGAACTTTAAAAAAGAATGTATTTCTTTAAAAGCATAAGGACAAGGAATTGGTTAGAAAGAATTATACTTACATGTAAACATAATTCGCTGGGTACAGAAGTTATCACATTCAGGTCCCTTTTGAACACTGATACGTTAGCAGGCTGACTGGCAGCCACATTGGACAGAATCTTAGAGCCTGTCTGCTGAAAATTAGGGGACTGTGCAGGACTGTCTTGAATTCCACAGTGACTGATGGCTATGACTTCTGGCACTGGACATGAGACTGTATCTTCAGCACAGGAAGAAAATGGAGAGTCTATGCTTTGGGTATCCTTCTGGCTCTCAGGATAGCTAGTTATGCTATGCTCCTGATAGAGCAAGTTTCTTAATTTTTCATCTAGAGTTTTAATTCGGTTATCTGCAAACTCCATTTTTGGAGGTCTTTCCCCATCTGATTCCAGGACAGTAGTGGGTAGAAGCGTAGTTGGTTCAAGGCCGGGGGTCTGAGTGGGAATGCCCATCTTAGGAGAACTTGCTTCAATGTTCACTGTGGATTCTCCTTCTTGGGAGGTAAACTCTGCATCCATAGTTGGATGCTGCAGTGATGAGGATTGAGGCTTCTGATCAGACATAAATGCTGAAGTTTTAAGAGAGTTACCAGCAATCTGAGTTGATTCGTCAGGAGGTGCCATAAGTACATTAGCCTGACTGGCAGCTTGGTGACATGGATACACAGGTAGAAATATTCCTGGTTGGCTGGTGAGTCCCTCACATTCAACTGGAACTGTATGAACTAAAGTAGCAGTATAAGTGGAACTACTAGCAACTGGTGCCATCCTATGCCTGTCATCTTCCACCTCATAAGGTACAGCTGACTGCTTAGTTTCTACACTGGCACATTCAGAAATCTTACCATCAACTAAATCCTTGTGTGCTGACTTGGAGGTGAAAAGTGCACGCTGGCATGGATTGTTTTCTAGAGTGAGCAGTGTGTCCTGTGATATTTCCTTATTATTTGTTTTTCTTGGACCTGGAACAATAACAAAAGAACAGCTAAGCACGTATTGGTAAGTACAGAGCATGGACTACTACCCAAACTCAAAATGGACAGGAGGAGCAAGGGGCAAATGAGAACTTTGTAAATAAGACTCAAAATACACAGAATTCAACCTGTCAAGGAAAAAAAAAACCTTTTCTTTTATTCATAAATATTAAATAAAAACGGCATGTTACACCCTAGTATTAACATCTAAAAAATGCTTATGAAAATGCTCATAAGCACAAAATACCAATGAAAACAAGTTAGAGGTATGGTCCAGCTCTGGCTGGTGCGGCTAGTTGGTTAGGCGTTGTTCTGTGCACCAAAATGGTTGCCGGTTCGAGTCTGGGTCAGGGTACATGCCCAGGTTGCAGGCTCGCTCCCTCACAGGGGCAGTGTAGGAGGCAGCCGATTGATGTTTCCCCCCTCACATGGATGTTTCTCTTTCTCTTTCTCTCCCCGCCCCCCACGCCCTTTCCCTTCCTCTCTCTCTAAAAATCGATTTAAAAAATCTTTAAGAAAAGGACATGGTCCATATTTTGCACCCCCGTCCTCCAAGTCTGGATAAAGTTGGCAGAGAATGAATGCTTACTAGAAAGTGGATATAGCCCAGGCACTGCAGACATGGACTGCTGAAGAGAAGGAGGAGATTGAGCCTCACGGTTTCTTATTGTCTGATTGATACAGAATCGCCACCGACCAACTGGGGACGACTGAGGAGCAGATTCATCTGTAGAAAAAATTAGCAAAATTTAATGTGCAAAGCAATTGTCAGTATGTTGACCCTAATGACTAAGGGAACCAGGTTAAAACATCAATTTTTCTTGTATCTCCATTTACAACACTAGCATGTGTGTAATTTATAAGACCTGAACCCCCCAATCCTGACAAATACCCTAAAAAATTAAGCATACGATGTCTTTAGAGAAAGATTTTAGATTTTACAGAAACAAACATATCAACAGCAGTTACAAGCAGGCACTTTGCGGGGGGGGGGGGCTGGATAGGAAGGAAAGCACTTTTACCATTAAGACCTACATTTCCTGTTCTGTATCCTAATTATGGTGATGCTTACAGAAATCTACATGAGTATTACAATTTACAGAACTGTACATTAAAAGAAAAAAGTCAATTTTACTGTACGACGACTTAAAAAATAAAATAAGCCCCTACATCTTTACTCCCACTTTGTAAACGTATTAAAATGAGTAATTCTATTTTAAACATTACCCTATTTGTCAGCCAGAAATCGGCTCAGACGCCTGCTACTGAGAAAAAGATAGAGGAAGACCCTGGCATTCTAACACAAACTCCATTTCAGGGTAATTGTATCTGGTTCCATGACTCGCACACCACCTGTTGCTTCTTCATGTCATTATAATTCCTTCAGAGTCCTCATTCGTCTATGCCTTTTCTCCCCCTCCCAGATATTCTAAATATACCCATGACCAGAGCTGAGAAGAATGGAGAGATAAAGTAGTGAGAAAGAAAACAGAGGACCACGTTTTTAGCCCCTGGAAGTTTATCTGGTATCTGATTTATAAAAACTTAGTGATCAGAGGAAGGAGAAGCACATCACTGGTGGAATGAAATCACAATATCAATGATAATTAAAACAAGAGGCAAACTTAGAACATAATGATTTTAGTTAGGAATGTTTCTGTCCATCTCACATCAGGGGGGGAAATAAAACTTACCGGTCAAGTTCAAACAGTAAAGCATTAAAGGTCATCAGTACTGTGACTACTTTTCTGGTAACATACCGTGCGGCAACTCAGAAATAAATTAATCAGATAAAGAAGAACCAACACTTGAAGGAAATTTGGAGAATGGTTTTACTTCTTATACTTTCTTCTGGGCTATGAAGTCCTTTCAGAGTGTGGGAAAACCTACATTAGCAATTTCTCAAATTCCTTTATTGGCTAACATCTTTCCCAATGAAGATGTGTAAATTAAAGTTTCCAAAATGTCTTGCTTCAAATGCCAAATGGTAAATTTTATTAAATATACTTACTGCTGGTTTGAGTGGATGCAGAATTTATCTGTACTTGTTCAGATGATCCTGTCTGAATTAAAAATGAATAGATAAATAAAGAAGTTCCTGATACATATCTCAGAAGACCTATTTGCTAAACAACTGCTCTTACTTGACTATTGTTGGATTCCACGGTAATAGAGTCAACTCCTATGGCTCTTTCTGCAGCAGAGTGGACATGAAGAATCTCCTGGGCTTGACCTACGATAGCCCTCAATTCTTCTACAAATTTTTCTTTCTCACTATCCAGCACAAAGTTATCTTCAACCTGTCAAAAAGTAAAAGTAAGTCTACTCAAGAGAATGAATTCAGTTTCTTCAAAATTATAATAGTATATCAATGGTGATTACCCTAAATTAAAATTATTTATTTAGATCCAAATGCCACAAGAGAATTAACAAAGACCAGCAATAAAATGCAACATAGCATATTGAAATATTCTTTCTCTATTGAGACCACTGACATTTGTCAAGTGGGCAATACCTACAAGAGAAGAAGCCAGGATTTAAAAAACTATCTGGCATTCTACAAATTGACTGGCGTGCCTCATAACTGAGGCAGTGTTTATGTTTAAAACTAGATGTCCAAACCCAAAAGCTTATAAATCACAAAACGAAGCATCTCTAAAGATGATAAAGTATGGACTGGAGACAGTTCAGAAAACACTATGTTCACTAAGAGTAAAACTGACAGCATTTTTATCTTTTAAAATGTTTAGTCCTGCTTGGTCAGGAATGTATGTCCAAAGAAAACTGGCAGAAACAAAAGCACTATGTACTCTAACCGCCGCCCCATCCCGTCTCCATTGTTTAAAAAAGGAAAAATACTAGCTTAAGCCTAACAATTCAAAGAAAATATGAAAACAAAATGAAATCATGAACATTACTTAAACACTTAAGTATAAGATGTTATATCAGTAGCTAACACATTAGAATTACCTGGGGAACTTTATAAACTATTGATATTTAGGCCTTACCCCCAAAGATTCTGATTTAATTAAGGACCTAGAAGATTGTTTAAAAAAAACCTCTTCAGGTGATTTTAACATGCAGCTAGGGATAAGAACCACTGGCCTAGAACACCTCTCAATGAAACACCTTCATATTTTGCAGATAAATATAATGAAATCAGAGGAGGTGCATCGACTTCCTCTTGATCATAACCAATTTAGCTCTGTACAAATTTTAAAACAGTACCCTAAAAAAAGAGGGCTCTGAATCAATGGGGGAAGAGTTACAAGGGAAAGAGAGAGAACACTAAAAGGAAAATAATTTGGTTTTACTGTACTTACCATATAGTCTGCAATATCCTCTGGTGCATCACCATCAACATCAAACTTGAAGGTGACCATCTTGTTATTGTGCGTCTCCAGTTGACACTCTACCATGTTGTCTCCAGAGGTTGACACCTGGGCAAACATTTCACCAACAGATTAGGAATCAATCATTGTCAGAAGAATCAACATAGTTAAAATGCCCATCTTACTGAAAGCAATACACAGACGTAATGTGATCTCCATCAAAATGTCAGTGGCATTTAAAAAATTTTGTTTCTTTATTGATTTTGAGAGAGAGAGAAGAAGGAAGAGGGAGGGAGAGACAGAAACATCAATAAGAGAGAATATTGATCAGCTGCCTCCTGCATGCCCCCCACTGAGGATTTGACCCACAACCTGGGCAGGTGCCTTGACTGGGAATCGAACTGGTGAACTCTTGGTGCATGAGTCGATGCTCAACAACTGAGCCACATCAGCCGTGCAGTCAGTGGCATTTTTAAAGGAATCATTTTCCCTCCAGATTAAGAATCAATAATTGTACGAAGAATCAACATAGTTAAAACGGCTATCTTACCTAAAGCACTATACAGATTTAATACAATCCCCATCAAAATCCCAATGGCATTCTTTTTTTTTTTTATCCTCACCTGAGGATATTTTTCCATTTATCTTCAGATAGAGTGGGAGAGAGGGACAGAGAAAGAGAAACATTGACGTGAGAGAGAAACATCTACTGGTTGCCTCCTGCACAACCCCAACCAGGGCCGGGGAAGAACCGCAACCGAGGTACGTGTCCTTGGCCAGAATCAAACCCATGACTCTTTGGTCCATGGGGCCGGCACTTTAACTGCTGATCCAAATTGGCCAGGGCTCCAAAAGCATTCTTTAAGGAACTAGAACAACAACAAAAATCATCCAATTTCTATGGAACCACAAACGACTCCAAATAGCCAAAACAATCTTCAGAAAAAAAGAACAAAGCTAGAGCAATCACACTCCCTAACTTCAAATTATACTATGAAATGACAATAATCAAAACAACAAGATATTGTACCCTGGCTGGAGTGGCTCGGTTGGTTGGGCATTGTCCCATGCACCAAAAGGTTGCTGGGTTTGATTCCCAGTCAGGGCACATGCCTGGCTGGATTCCCCAGTGTGAGACATGCTCAATGGATGTTTCTTTCTCATATCCATGTTTTTCTCTCTCTCCCTCTCCTTCCTGTCTCTCCAAAAATCAATAAAAATTTTAAGAAAGCAAAACAACATGGTATTGGCAGAAAAACAGACACACAGACCAATGGAATAGGATCAAGAGTCCAGAAATAAACCTACATGTATATGGGCAAATAATTTTCAACAAAGAAGCCAAAAACAGCCATGGCCGGTTTGGCTCAGCGGTTAGAGCGTCGGCCTGCGGTCCGGAGAGACCCGGGTTCGGTTCCCGCTAAGGGCGCGTACCTTGGTTGCAGTTTGTCCCCAGCCCTGGTTGGGTCGTGTGGGTGGCAACCACTCGATGTGTCGCTTTCACGTCGATGTTTCTCTCTCTCTCTCTCTCTCACTCTCACTCTATCTGAACAAAATATCGAAAAATGTCCTCGGGTGAGGATAAAAAAAAAAAAAAAAAAAAAAAAAATAACCCAAAAACATACAATAGAAAAAAAAAAGCCTCTTCAATAAATGGTGCTAGGAATATTGGAAAGTCACATGTAAAAGAATAAAACTAGACTTCTATTTGTCACATTACAGAAAAATAAAGTCAAAATGAATCAAAGAACTAAATATAAGACTGGAAACAATAAATTACAAACAAACAAACAAAAACACTAGCCCGGCTGGTGTGACTCAGTGGACTGAGCGCTATCCCATGGACTGAGAGGTCCCGGTTTGATTTCCGGTCAAAGCACATGCCTGGGTTGTGGGCTCGATCCCCAGTAGGGGGCATGCAGGAGGCAGCCAATTGATGTTTCTATCTCTCCCTTCTTGTCTCTAAAAAATCAATAAAGCCCTGGTCCGTTTGGCTCAGTGGTTAGAACGTCAGCCTGCGGACCAAAGAGGTGTGGGTTTGATTCCAGTCAAGGGCACGTACTTTGGTTGCAGTTCGTACCCAGCCCTGGTTGGGGTCATGTGGGAGGCAACCAGTTGATGTGTCCCTCTCACGTAGATGTTTCTCTCTCTCTCCCTCTCCCTCCCTTCCTCCCTTCCACTCTATCTGAAGAAAAATATCCTCAGGTGAGGATTAAAAAAAAAATCACTAAAAACATTAAAAATTTTTTTAAAATTATATCTCTATACAAAGGACTATTTTAAATGTTATTAAAATTACTTAATGACACAGTAAAGTATATATAATACATTAAGTTTTTAAAAGGCAATATATAAAATTATATATAAGGTTTAGCATCCCTCCAAAACATATACTATATTGATTAGAGATATGTGCTTTAAAGTCTGATCTGGATTCAGATCTGACTATTGCTTACTAGTTGAATCACCTTAGGCAAATTACTTTACCTCTCTAACTCTGATTTATAAAGATAAGTATACCACCACCTATCATACAAGGTTATTAACAGATTAAATGATAAAGCAAATGTATAACATTTGGGGTGTCTACCACAAAATAATTCAATAAATTTCCACTATTACTACTATAATCTTAATGTAAAATAGGACAGTAACATACAGAATAAAAGAGATGAAACAAATTAAAACATTAACAGGAACTATATCTGAGAGTACAAGTGATTTTTATTTTCTTCCTTACATTTCTTAAGTCTAACAATTAATACATAATACTTTTATCAGAAAAAAATTTTTCCCATTGATTTTTCTTTTAGAGTGGGAGGGAGTCGGGGGAGAGACAGAGAGAGAAACATCAATATGAAAGAGACACATCTATTGGTTGCCACCCCCTCGACCCCAAGATGGGCCTGGGAATCGAACCCACAACCAAGGTATGTGCCCTTGACAGGGACTCAAACCTGTGACTCTCTGGTCCACAGGTGGATGTTTTAACTGCTGAGCCATATCGGTCAGGGAAGAAAAAATGTGTAATGGAGGAAAAGTTAATTCACAATACCCTACTTCCACAGTAATATCACCCCTCTCTGACCCCCAGACGTCTACTCCCACTCTTAACCCACCCATATTTACACACTAACCTGAAGGACAGTAAGCTGGAATTTAGTCCCCTTCTCTGGTCGAGGACAGGAAGCTCTTCTCTGTTTGATCCGATCTTGTTTGCCATTTCCACTTGGGTTGTCAGGAGTATTGGTGTTTTCCTTCACAGCTGCCACATCATGATGCAAACTACTAATTAAAAACACAAAAGCAACTTCTATTCAATTTCTCAGAGCAGACATTATTCTGTGATTCTCAAAACCCAATATTTAACTCAAATCAGAGTTAACATACAAAATTCCTTCATGGCTAGAATCATTTCATCCTGATATTAAAATTCTAAGAAAACCAACTATAAAATCATAAATAATGAGTTTATGGAAAATAAATTAGTAATAAAATATCTTTTAAAAAGTTATGACTTCACAATTCTGCAAATACACTAAAAGCCAATGAACTGTAAGCTTTAAATGTGTGAATTTAACAGTATGTGAATTATATCTCAATAAAGCTATTTTTAAAAGTTATGGAAAAAAATTGAAGCCATATTGTATTTATTTGACAAACATCTCACAGTAGTAGAAGAGAAAGAAAAACACCAGTGATAGGCCTCACTGGAACATTTTATCAGAGGACCCTCTTGATCAATTCTTTTTTGTTTGTTGTGGGGTTTCTTTTTTTAAAATTTTTATTTCTTTATTGATTTTGAGAGAGAGAGGCAAGAAAAGGGAGAGGGAGAGGGAGATAGAAACATTGACGAGAGAGAACATTGACTAGCCACCTCCTGCATGCCCCCTACTGGGGATTTGGTCCACAACCTGGGCATGTGCCCTGACCGGGAATCGAACCGGTGACCTCTTGGTGAATGAGTCGACGCTCAACCATTGAGCCACACTGTCCGAGCCATTTTGGGGTTTCCTTTTTAAAATGTTTTTATTGGTTTTTTAGAGAGAGGAAGGGGAGAGAGATAGAAATACTGATGTGAGAAACATTGATCTGCTGACTCCTGCATGCCCCCCACTGGTGATCAAGCCTGCAACCTAGGCATGTGCCCTGACCAGGAATCAAATTGGGACCTCCCAGTCCATGGGATGATGCTCAATCTACTGAGCCACACCAGCTGGGGAGTTTTGGGGTTTCTTATTAATACATTCAAATAATACTTCCAGAAATCAATTCTCACTCAAAATACACCTTTTAATGTAATGAACTCAATAAGGGACAGACAGACCAGGTGTGAAAGAGGAATAATAGTGCAGTAGGGAAGAACAAGAAATGAAAATAAGATAAAGAAAACATGCCCTGGCTGGTTTGGCTCAGAGGTTAGAGTGTTGGCCGTGAATCAATGAGTCACAGGTTCAATTCCAGTCAAAGGCACATACATACCTCAGTTGCGATTCATCCCTGGCCCTGGTTGGGGTCATGTGGGAGGCAAGCCACTCTATGTATCTCTTTCACATCGATGTTTCTCTCTGTCTCTCTCTCCCTCCCACTCTATCTGAACAAAAGTGGAAAAATGTCCTCTGGTGAAGATTAAAAAAAAAAAGATAAAGAAAACATGGTGTGTATCATACAATGAAGTATCATCCTGCCATGAAAATGAATAAAATCTTGGCATTTGCAACAACATGGGTAGGCTTTGAGGGCATTATGCTAAGTGAAATAAGTCAGAAAAAAGAAAGACAAATACATATAATTTCACTTATATGTGGAATCTAAAAATAAAAACAAAACCCAAGGTGGAGAGCGGAAGCCCCGGCCGCTGCTGGGTCCCTGCGGCGCCCACGGAGTAGCTGGAGCCGCTGGTTGGCTCTGCTCCGGCCGCGTCGGGGTTCACCGGCCCGAGGCCGGGTTCCAGAAGCTGGCCTCCCGGAATGCCGGTGGCCTTCGCTCCCGACTGGCTGAGAGGCAAGGCGCAAGGCAACCAGGACACGCTCCAGCGGTCCTGGAGGAGAATGACCAGCTAATCGCTGTATCGTGGAGTATCAGAACTAAGGCCGGGCGAATGTGCGTCTAGTACCAGCATGTGTTACATAGAAACCTCATTTATTTGGCTACCATTGCAGATGCGAACCCTACCGTCCTTCAAAAGTAATGGAATAACCTTCCGCCTGGCTGTTGTGAGGAGTAATTGAATGTAATCCACTTCGTGTGGAATGGAGACAGGATCTTTACCAACTGAACTGCTGAAAATATGAAGGAAATCTCTGGCTCTTTTTAAAGGAAATGTGAAGAAAGCTACTAAATTAACTGTATTTCAGTGTAAATATTTATTTTAATGATTAAGCAGATTGCCTCAATTAAGTTGCCTCCAGGTATTTTCCTTCCTGAAACGCGTGTGTTTGGAGACCAGGTTTCATGGCAGGGAAACTAAGCCTGCTTTCTTAGTTTCAACCTGAAGGGGAAACCGAGCAGCTGCCTGGCAGTCAGGGACCGGCGAGGCTCCCAGGGGAGGCCCCGCCAGCTGAACACGTAACTGCTTCTCCCTTCGACCAGTTTGGAGTTCTGGACCCCCGCCTGCTCTTTTCAGGTTGCTTCAAAATAAAGTTTGTCTTTCCAGAAAAAAACAAAACAGAAACAAAACCCAAGCTCATAGATACAGAGAACAGATTGGTGGCTGATAGAAGCAGGGATGGCCAGGGGGATGGGTGAGATGTGATGGGGGGTGGGGGAGGTAGGAGGTAGACAAAAAGGAGTAAAAAGGTACAAACTTTCAGTTATAAAATAAATGTCATGGGAATATAATGTGAAGCATGGTGACTATAGTTAACAAAACTGTATTGCATATTTCAAAGTTGCTAAGAGAGTAACAACTATGTGAAGTGATGGATGTTAACTAGATTTATTGTGGTAACCATTTCACAATATATGCAAATATCGAATCATTATGTTGTATTCTTGAAATATAACATTATATGTCAGTTATACCTCCATATCAATCAATCAACTACATCAAATTTTGGGTTAAAAAATTAAAATGAATGATGTGAAAAAGGATCAACACGAGTAATTCTAAGTAGTTGTATTTTGCAGGTTCAAATCAATATGATTATGAAAGAGTAGACTAACTTTCAATTTATCTGTGTCAAGGGCATTTTTCAGTTTTCTTTTTCTTTAATAAGTTTAAAGAAGATATTTCAATAAATACAAAAATTCCAATAAATACATTTGAAACTCAAATGAGAAGATCTGTAAGCACCAAACATATATTTTAAATTAATGTTTGGGTAAAGTCCTCCTAAAAACTACTCATGAAGTATCTGCATAAAGATATATATAAAAAGACATAAAAATAATTCTGAAAATGTTTTCTATGTTCACATGAAAAAACATTTTGCATAAATACAAGTGGTGGTAGAACATGCATCAACATTGCTCTTAGTTTTTTTAATACACAAAGAAATAGCAATGACAAATAACACTTTCAGCATATAAAAGGGATATAATTCTAATCAGTGGGGTTAGATCATTTTCATTACAGAGTTACCTTAAAAAAACTGGTTTAGGCCTTGGCCGGTTTGGCTCAGCGGTTAGAGCGTCGGCCCATGGTCCAGAGAGACCCAGATTCAGTTCCCTGCTAAGGGCGCGTACCTCGGTTGCGGTTTGTCCCCAGCCCCAGGTGGGGTTGTGCAGGAGGCAGCCACTCGATGTGTCCCTTTCACATGGATGTTTCTCTCTCTCTCTCTCTCTCTCTCTTCCTCCCACTCTATCTGTGCAAAAAATGGAAAAATGTCCTCGGGTGAGGATAAAAAAAAAAAAAATTTAAAAATACTCTTGAAGCACATGAAAAATATATCTCAGAACTTACATACTTATATGCATAGCCCAAGGACAAAAGCAATAGTGTGGTGAAAGCCTGGGGTGGGGTGGGGGCTGGATGAACGGAGGAAGTGGGGAGAAATTAGGGGGAATCAGTAATAATGTCAACAATAAAAAATAAACTTAAAAAAACACAAAACTAAAAATAGTCTTGGCCGGTTTGGCTCAGTGGTCAGAGCATTGGGCCTTGGACCAAAGAGTCTCGGGTTCAATTCCAGTCCAGGATACCTTGGTTCCTGGCTCTGGTCAGGGTCATGTGGGAGGCAACCAATCGATGTGTCTCTCTCACATTGATAGATCTCTCTCCCCCCACCCTCTTCCTCCCACTCTATCTGAAAATAAATGGAAAAATATCCTCTGATGAGGATTTAAAAAATAAACAACTAAAAATAAATAGCAGTTTTTTTAAAAAAACCAAATGGAAATGAAAGAACTGTAAGTATAATCATTGAAAAACAATTCATTGAATGGGCATAATAGCAGAATGAATAGGACAAAGGAAAGAATCTGTGAACTTGGAAACAGAACAATAGGAATTATGCAATCTGAATAACACAGAAAAAAATTAGTTTACAACTACCAACTAATAATATAATTATATATCTGGTTATAATTTATTTCTTTAGATTAGCTGGAATTTTATTATAAATGACATTATTTCTTATTTCCTTTTTAAATTCTAAGCTTTTCTTAGAAACAGAATGTTATAATGAAAACAAGAAAATGGTCAATAATTTCACAATCCATATGATCTTTATTAAAATAAAAAATAAAAATAATACCTATTATTTTAATTGAACATACACACAAATACAAGAACACAAAATCTTCCCTAGTCATGATATGAGAGCCCCTAATGAATGTAAATATTTCAACATACCCTTGTTTCCATGGTATTAAATAGGAAGATACTTACCTTTGAACTAAATCCAGTTTTAGAAGAGTTGCTTGCTGTTCAACTCCAACTGGTTGGGATACAGGCTGTAAACAATATAAAAATAAAAAAACTTATAACAGCAAACTTCAGGCTAAAGATGAAATTTGTTATTATTTCAGAAAACACACGTTACATTTCATATTTTGGTTAACTCATAAACCAGGCAGAACATCTACCCTACTGAATGTCTTCATCAATCTTATTATTGATTTTACTACCAAAGATGAAGAAAAATAAAATGTAGTAATATTCATCAATCAATATTTCTCATTAAGAAAAGAGAACATTGTTTTATATGTTTTTTATCTTTATTGTTGACAGTATTACAGATGTACCCCCCTTTCCTCCCCTATTGCCTCCTCCTCCTGGTTTCAACAGAGAACACTGACATTCAGCTTCCAGTCTTGATTGTAAAACGACTCCTAAAATTAATATTCATATTAAATCATCTGGACTTGGTCATTGTATTGTGATTAAGAAAAATGTCCTTATTCTTACACAGAAATATTTAGAGGTAAAAGGGTATCATGTTTGCAACGAGCTGCCGTTATACAAACAGAAAAATCAATGACTCAAGCTTTAATATGTTGTATGGTCTCTCTTTCTTGCTCTCTTTTTCACAAAACTACAGCCAACTATCTCTTTGCGGCGTTAGTATTGGGGAGCTCCAATACTGATTTTTAGGAGGAAAGTATAGCCCTCTAAGAAGGCAAATGCCAATTCCGCTGGAAAATTATTTTAAACATTTATTTTAAACATATTATTTTAAACATCCTATGCATTGCCACTGGTGATAGTAGAGGGACCTTAAAAATGCAAGTCTACCAAAAATGATCACTTCCCTCCCCAGTTTAAACCCCCTATGATGGCTCCTCTTCTATAAGGTGAAGTTCTTTTGGATGGTAAATAAAGTCTTCATTGAACTAGTCCTGGCCTTATTTTCTAGCCTCTTCTCTGCTCAAAGTCACACTGAACTCTCTCTCTTAAGAATGAGTTGGACTTTTCCATATACTGTGACTCTAATTATGCTCCTTCATCTCCCTGGACTATTTCAACTCCTCCTAGTCCTGTCTATTTAGCAAATATCTGGACAGAACTCTTATATTTATATCTTTATTTATTTTTCTTTATTGATTTTAGAGAGAGAGAGGAAGGGAGAGGGGGAGATAGAAACACTGATGAGAGAACATCGATTGGCTGCCTCCTGCGTGTCCCCCACTGGGTATTTGGCCTACAACCTGGGCATGTGCCCTGACCAGAAATCGAACTGGCAACCTCTTGGTGCATGGGTCGATGCTCAACCACTGAGCTACACTGGCTGGGTGGAACTCTTATATTAAAAAAGCTACTACTGCCCGGGCTGGTTTGGCTCAACGGATAGAGCGTCGGCCTGCGGTCCAGAGAGACCCGGGTTCGGTCCCTGCTAAGGGCACATATCTCAGTTGCAGTTTGTTCCCGGCCCTGGTTGGGTCATGCAGGAGGCAGCCACTCGATGTGTCCCTTTCATGTCGATGTTTCTCTCTCTCCTTCCCACTCTATCTGAACAAAAAATGGAAAAATGTCCTCGGGTAAGGATAAAAAATAAAAATAAATAAAAATAAAAAGCCACTATTACAGTGGGTTCTAGACAGCAATAAACTTACCTTGGGGACTCTAAAGAACATATGCCTTAGCTCATATCTTGGTTTCTAAACTAAAAGGGATAAAGATTCCTTGGAGAAATGGCTGATTCCAACACTTAGGCAAGGAAAGTACAGGATGAACTTGGATTATCTTGCTATACCAAAAAGTATAGAACCGCTCAAAGAATGATGGGAACATATGAAAAGCAGACAGGAGCCAGCTTGAAGGGGTTCCCACTGCCCACAATTTGGCCATCAGAATAAATAATGATAGTAACAGAATATAATCCATTTAGTAAAGTAGGAATCCTTAAGGTCATACCGATATAAACAAACAAAGGAAAGGTCTGACAGTATAAAGCCAAGTAATAAATACAAGGAGTGATGAAGTTAGAAAAATTACCAATGAATGATAAAATTGATGGGTGAAAGTTGGATGAGGAACAGGATATTTACAGTTTTAAGATATCGCCTCAAAGATTGCTTATTAATTACAAAAGCAAAAATGATCACTTTACAGTAGAAGAACATGGCAGGCCCTACCATAATCAAGTAATCAAATTTGACCTCAGCAATATTGGGACAAATTGATATCACATGCCTCCTAATATAACACGATGTGCAAAGAACACAGCATTCCTTACATGTTATTCTTGACAAAAATGCATGATCTGAACCTGAACTTGAAGAACATTCTACAATTGACCTTTAGTCTTCAAAAATACTAATGCTATGAAAGACAAAGAAAGGCTGAGAAACTGTTCCAGATTAAAGGAGACGAAAGAGACAAACAATACAACTAAAGTCAATGTGTGATCTTCAATTAGATCCTGGATTAAGCTGAAGGGGTGGTGGGGGTTATCATTAAGGGGCAATTGGTGAAATTTTAATGTGAACAACAGATTAAATAATAGAATTATATTCATATTAAATCACCTGTACTTGGTCATTATATTGTGGTTAAGAAAACTGTCCTTGTTCTTATACAGAAATATTTAGGGGTAAAAGGGTATCATGTTTGCAACTAGCTCTCCCATGCTTCACAGGGAAAATCATATGTGGATGAATAGTAGATGGATGGATGGGTGGACAGATGGATGGATACACCAACCAACTGATGGACTGTCATCCAGTAATGTCTTTTATCATGTCCCTCTTTATTATATATGTTTAATGTCTGACTCCAGGGATTCTGTATAATTTATTTTTATATTCTCAGTGCCTCTTAATACAGTGCCAACACATTTTAGGCTTCCAATAAATGCTTGAAGGTAGAAAAAAAATAAGAAAATGGTGATGTAAGAAGAAAGGCTGTGCTGTAAAAATGTCTGTGATCCAGTATTATCAATCCTGGACATTCATCTGAAAGAAATACAAAGGAAGAAAAAGTACGTAGTATAAAGTTTGTTTCATAGTAAATGGCAAGTATGTCTGTTTTTATTGTGACAGTACATATAATAAATATTACTGAGTCATAAAAAAAATAAGGAGCCCTGACCTGTTTAGCTCAGCAGTTAGAGCATTGGCCCATGAACCAGAGTCCTGGGTTCGGTTCCTGCTAGGGGCGTTTACCTTGGTTGCAGTTTGTCCCCGGCCCCGTGGGATTGTGTGGGCGGCAGCCAGTTGATGTGTCTCTCTCACATCAATGTTTCTCTCTCTTCCTCCCTCTTTCCTTCCCACTCTATCTGAAGATAAATGCAAAAATGTCTTCGAGTGAGGAAAAAAAGAAATAAATAAGGAAATCTTACCATTTGCGACAGTATGGATGGACCTAGAGGATATTATACTCAGTGAATACGTCAGTCAGAGAAAGACAAATACCATATGATTTCACTTACATGTGGAATCAAAAGAACAAAATAAATAAACAAACAGAACTGAAAATGACTCACAGATACAGAGCAGACTGATGGTTGCCAGAGGGGAGGGTGGTTGGGGGACTAGGTGAAAAAGGTGAAGGGGTTAAGAAGTACAAAATGGTAGTTACAAAATAGTCATGGGGATAAAAAGTACAGCATAGGGAATACAGTCAATAATATTGCAATAACTATGCATAGTGCCAGTTGGGTACTGAGGAGAACAATATGCAAAGTATATGATTGTCTAGCCACTAAGCTATATACCTAAAACCAATACAAAATAAAATTGAAAGAAATGAAAAAGAAAAAAAAAACTGATAGTGAGTCAGTTGTCCAGGAACAGGGGAAGAGTCAGGTAATTATGATTACTTACTGCATTACTGTGTGACCATGGAAAACTAGCTGTGAAGTCTAAGTGATGGCAGAAAAAATTACTTAACAATGAATAAAAAATCAGAAAACAATATGTATATAATTACAACCACTTATGCATATGACAAAAACCTGTAATGCTGTAACAAATATTATAATCACTGCCATGTAAAGGAGATAGCAATCTAGGTGATTTTCCCCCATTTTCCTACTTTTCATAATGACAGTACGTACATTTTATAATTTAAAACTTTCAAAGAATAGCAAATACTAAATGTACATGAAAATAGGTACTTTCATAAACCACTGGAGGGATTATAAACTGGTCAGACCTTTCCGAAGGGTAATTTAACAAGTCTTAAAATGTCAAGCAATTCCATTTCTAGAAATGTATCTCAAGGAAATAATTAAGAGTGTGCACAAAGAGCCCGGCTGGGGCGGCTCAGTTGGTTAAGCATCGTCCCATGCACCGAGCGGTCTGATTCGATTCCTGGTCAGGCAGGGCACCTGCTCCACTTGCAGGCTCTACAGTCGGCCCTCGTTTATCGCGGTTAATCAGTTCCAGACTCTACCGCGATAAATGAATTTCCGCGAAGTAGGATTATTAATTTATACAGTTGTCCCTTGCCACTTTGGGCTTCGACTTTCGCAGCTTCACTCTTACCATGTTTTTTTCAAAACCGTGAAAGTCTAAGCGCGAAGTGGTGAGGGACGACTGCATTCCCAGTAGCAGGGGTGCAGGAGGCAACTGAGAGATGTTTCTCTCTCACATCCATGTTTTTATCTGTCTCCCTCTCATTTCCTCACTTTCTAAAAAAATCAATGAAGACATTTTTTTTTAAAGGACTGTTCACAAAGATTTAGGTACAAGAACGATCCTCACAACATGGAATAGTATAGCAAATAGCAAAAAAATTAGACACTTGTTTCCTTCACTTGCTCCATTAAATAAGAGTACATCCATACTAAAAGATATTATACAGCCTTTAAAATGTATTAAAACATATAAGATAATGTTATAAGGGAAAAATATTATAAAAGAGCATGCATAGTGCCCTGGCTGCTTTGGCTCAGCAGTTAGAGCGTCGGCCCGCAGACCAGACAGTTCCAGGTTTAGTTCCCGCTAAGGGCACGTACCTTGGTTGCAGTTTTTCCCCCCGCCCTGGTTGGGGTTGTGTGGGTAGCAACTAC